CGAGCTTCATCGCCCTAGAGGACATGGACGCAGACGTCGCCATCATGCTCATAGAATGGATTCAAGAAGACAGGTATGATGATGCTGCTGTGAACGCTGGATCTGACATGTACGCAAATCTCCTGTATAGGCTGCCTGATTCCGCCGACCTGAATTGGACTAGGTGCATGCGTGTCCTGATGGCCGCCGACAAGTTCCAAGTTCACACATTGGTGAGTTAAGGATGAACTCATTCCCACCAGAACATGAACAATAATGCTTTTTAAAGGTGCACTACTGCATCTGCCATCTCCGCCGCCTCCTTACTCAAGGACGTGTGACATTCGACGAGATCATTGTAGTTCGCAAGATGCTGCAACAGTGCACAGGAACAAACACTACAAAACTGGGTACGCTAGACGCATATCTGTGACCAGAAACCATTAAATAATATTCTCTGTAGCTAGGGACTGTGAGGCTTATGTAGCTGCTCGAGCAGCATCCGACCCGTCGAAGATGTGGAGCATCCTGGACTGCGGAAGCATTGAGATAAGAAAAGCATGTGGCAAGGGCAATTCAGCCGCCATATAACAAACTGGGCAATGCGCAGCTTTTTGGCTGTGCTTTCTGCTGCTGAGGACTGCAATCTAAAGAGCTGAAAAANAACTGGGCAATGCGCAGCTTTTTGGCTGTGCTTTCTGCTGCTGAGGACTGCAATCTAAAGAGCTGAAAAATACGTCCCTCAAAGTAGTTGTAGTCAGCCGCATGCATTCGTTGAAACGAAGTTCCAGTTGAGAACAAACGTGCCTGAGGCTTGTTAGTTCAAGTGCGTACACGCACTCAAACTGAAACGTTATAATTAATTTCTGATTGGCTCAGAAACACCAATACCTTCAAAGTTCAACATTATTTAGGGTTCGGGGACGCCCCGCAAAAGCCGGAAAACGGCTTAAAACACTATCTTGCGACAAAGCAACGCTTCGAATGTCACTTTACTCTATGGGCATCGCCTTGTCTACCAATGCAAAGCCTATATATCAGCCACTACGCTGTGTCGGCAATGCAAAACCACCTCCGCACCATATTGTTCCCAGGGATTCATACGCCGCAAATTTCCTCTGGTGCAGATCTCTCTCTGAGAAGAGAGCCACCATGAGCGACAGAACTGGGCAGAGGAAGGCAAGCGAACGCATTGCATTAGGCCCAATCGCCCGCATTCTTAAGCCGAAGAAACTTGCGAATTTGCGGTGGCCTGAGATATGCACACAACACCTAAACTGTAAAACTTCATGGTGAATGTCGTGATNGCGAATTTGCGGTGGCCTGAGATATGCACACAACACCTAAACTGTAAAACTTCATGGTGAATGTCGTGATTTTGTCGCCTAAGCTTAGCCTCGGAAAGCGGACGATTCGCGAATGTCCTAATGTTAAAAGCCACATGCGTTTTGACGGTGCAGGACTCACGGTAACGCCATCATTCTTCTTTGGCTCTGTCGCTGAGGCTGGCGCTTCAGCGGATGTCTCGGCCTCCTTTGCATCCTCCTGCTTTGTAGCAGCTGTTCCGTCCGTATCGATAGATGCCTTTTTCCTTACAACTTTTGGAGCTTCGTCTAGGTCAAACTCTTCTTCTTCGTCACTGGAGTTGACGCACACATCACCTGCGAACACACAGGCCGCAGAATACAGTTTGTACACGATTTGCTGTCTACGACAAGTAAACGTGTGGACCCTAAGCAATGCTGATAGTATGTACCGAGCATCTGTTGGAAGAGAGTCGGCTCCTCATCCAGCTTGACATCTTCCGGATGCACGAAAACTTCGCGAGGCTTTTCCTCGGGCGTGTATACTGCAAAACCGTGCGCACACATGTAAGAAGTCAAATTTGAAGCACCTTTACGAAAATCCGAGGGATGTTCAAGCTTTCATATTGGGATATACTTTACCTCTAAATTCCGCATCAATTGTGACGTCGACTCCCGCATAGGAATCGCAACAAGCGACAACTGTCACCACGTTCTTGCCAGGCCTTCCAACTCTAAACTGTAGACTTTCTCTGACTACCCTCTCCAAGTTTCTAGATTTTACAAAACTAATTAGACGCCCTGTAACACAGTGCAGTACAAACACAAAGCAGNCTCCAAGTTTCTAGATTTTACAAAACTAATTAGACGCCCTGTAACACAGTGCAGTACAAACACAAAGCAGAACATCACATTTAACTTGAACTCAAAACTAGCTCCACCTGAAAACAAGCTATACCATAACTGTTCCGCGACCTACCTCCACCAGCACCGTCGCCCTTTTCCTTTAGGAATAACCACCACTCTTCGTATTTTGGTTCTTGGAAGTACGGTGCATGCACCGCTCCAGCAGCTTCGCCTTCCTGTTACCGCCACCATACATGCGAAGACACTTTACACATGCGTAGCTGTGCATTTCCCTAAACTTCGACCCATCGAAAGCCTGAAGTAGCATGCTGCAGAAGAAAACAGTGCTTCTAAGATTAGCTGCATCGCGCCTATCGTACCTTCAAATTTTTCCGTATCAGCGTAATGCGGCACGTCGCTACATCACCGACGACGATTTCTGCCTCGTCGTCCACAATTACGTCCACTCGGAGTTCAATATTGGGAACATGGTCACAAAAGGCCTGAATGTCAGCTAGTTGTTCCTTTGACATATCTACGGTGCCTCGCCGTTCCTCCCCCTCTTGACGTAAGAAGTCGCCCAGCTCGCGAATAACATGCTTTCCCCTGAACGTCCACACATGCACTTCGGTCCAGAGATTTCGCAAACACGACCCAGAAAGTACTGTTCAACAGTCAACTGTCGTGGCAACAGGTTGCCCATGATGAGAGCGCGGCCTGTTCTCACCGATGACAGTGGCGAACAACGTCCTCATCAAAGTGAGGAATTTGTAACAGTGATTCCGTCCTCCCATTGATGGCTTGAACCAGGCTACGCCGGAACTCCAAGACGGAGTCAGCAGTCATGAACCAATCGCTGAGAACGGAAATCTCCATCATGCACTGCGTTATCGGCAGCGAGTCCCTGCAGAAACAGCAAATAGCAAAGCATACGTGCACGCCCTGACACACAAAAAGTCACAAACGTGGGGAATATAGCAGTGAATTTGTATTCCACGTGCAGCTTTCGGCTGCATGCCACCTACTTAAGGAGTTGGTTTAACTCGTTCCGAAGCCGTGGGCTCATTAGCTCATGCAGCCGTTGCATGTGAGCGTTGATCAGGTAGCAGTTCCTGTCCGCAAGCAGCGCGTACACAGGACAGAAGAAATGCGCAATGGCAGTCCCCGCGGATCCCGTTATGGAGAGCTTTCAGCTGTGAAGTGGACTGACGAGTGCAATACAGAGCAACAAGGGCTAAAAGCGGTGCTGCAGGGAGGCGGGGAAGGCACACCTGACGATCACAGGCATTGTGAATATGCGTTTTTTCGTCTCTACAACAGCATCACATATCTGTTGCATGTCCTTGTCATCGTCGCGTTCGATCTTCATTGCGCGACTCTCTCCGCTAGCAGCAAGCAGCTCCGGCAAGTTCCTAATACGTGTGCCTTCCGTCATCACATGCGTGAGGAATTGCACCGTATCAACCATGACTCCGTTAGCTGCAAAGTACAAGTGCACACTACATCAGCAGCAGATGAACAATATGCTGCGAAATGCTCATGAAGAGCGGCCCATCCCCGCGGCCGGAAGGGTGCTGAGTGCAATTCCTTTGCCCGCAGTGGATGCAACACGCAAGGCACTGTGCTCACAGAAATGATATGCTGCTGGAACGTGCATCGCAAGTAAACCAGAGTAGAGCTGCACCTGCGGTTGTGGGTAAACTTACGAGCATATTTCTTCTGCCGCTGATAGTAGCAGAGGAAAATCATGGGCAATACGACAAGAAGGAATAGAAAGAAGAACGAGAGGACGAAAATTTGATTGGTTTCTTCAACTAAAAATCTTGGAAGCCCGACACCGATCTTCATGCCGCCGGGACCGTCGGGGTTTCCGTATTTTTCGTAGTTCTTTTTGGCCACCTAAAGAAGAAGAAAAAGACAAATTCCGTCGAGTAGTGTCGAGAACACCCGAAAGAACGCGGAAAGCTGTGTGATGGTCCGTTTTTCCTGGTGCTTACTTCGTCCGTTAGTGCCTGGTAGGCCTTGGCGATCATGATGAATCTGGCGCCCTGAGTGGGGTCATTGACGTTTTTGTCTGGGTGGTATTTGAGAGACATGAGACGGTATGCCTTTTTGATTTCCCGCTGCGTTGCTGACGGGCTGACGTCGAGGATTTCGAAGGGGTCGAAGGTCTTTATACTCTGAACGTCCTGCAGGTTGCGGCAGATCAAGACGAAGCCCAGCCAGCATATCATGAGAGCACCGAATTCAATGAGCCGCCCCTTGGTGAGAAAGCGGGTACGAAATAGAGAAAGTTTCTTGTGAAGTTCAGCCCGTTGCGCGACGCATGCACGGCACTGGCAGTATTTGAATTTCGAGCCCACGGCAGAGGTTTCGGGGTACTTCTGCCGGTAGGCGTTGGACACGGCGAGGCATTTTCGGAAGAAAAAGAAACTCCAAGGAATTAATATGCAGACAGTGACGCTGCATAAGAAGAACATAAAAGCATTGTCGTCATAGTCTAGCAGATTCTCTCGCTGCTCGTCTTTCGTGAACGTGTCCCGAAACTGCGACATTTTCTCTTGCACCCCTCCCCCCCAAGCTTCGACGCGGGGCTGAGAGAGCGAATCTTTGAACAGAAATCTCCAGACGAGATCTAAAAACTATCAAACGGCGCTTTCGGCAGCGGCAGGGGAGCAGCAGTCAGCCGCCGGCTGAACCATGGGGAGTGCTGTAGTGCTGGGCACTGCAATAAGACGGGAAATTCCAGAAACTGCAGGAGAAAAGGAAAAGAAATAAGTTAACGTAGAAACGAGTTCAATTACATACGAATCTAGCAACTGGCTCATCCCTAGGACTAACAAGACACTGGTGGCAATATTTGGGGCTGGATAAGCCCGTGTGCAACATGTAGAAACGTGAAAAGAATACACATTTCTGAGTTTGTTTCAGTCTTTGTGTTTTTTAGGAGTAAACTTTGTTAAATTCTGTACTAATGTGTGCAGGTTTTCGTCCATAGACAGTTCGCCTGTTCACGTTTTCATGCATAGGTGATTTGAATACGATTGAACATAGGCGCAGGCAGTGCCGCCTGACGTGTTTCTTTGTGCTTCAGCGGGGCTCAGAGTCTCAGTATTAACTCTCAATAAACTTCTCTTGCGAAATGCATTTAAAAACGCGAATTCCATCGTTATTTCCAGTCGATAGCCCTCGACCAGCACATCCGCTGTAGCCTTGGGTGTGTAAACTTNAATTCCATCGTTATTTCCAGTCGATAGCCCTCGACCAGCACATCCGCTGTAGCCTTGGGTGTGTAAACTTTGTGTGTGTATTCCTCCGTGTGTGCACGCTGGCCACTAAGGGCCAACCAAACACTCAACAGTTGTCTATAGTGTTAACACATGCAGCACGAGGGCTTAGTTGAGGATGCATGTGAAGTTTTGTTGCAGAAAGCTTTGCGGCGAGGTACACTGCAATGGGCATCAGCCCGCCCCCTCTCCTCGGGCCCCAGGCTCACCTGTTGACTGGAGGAGAAACCAGCTGCATTAGCAAACTCTTATTTTAAGTGTTTCACTTCTTTTGCATCTCTCAGCTGTACTCAAATAAGACCGAGGGCTTGTGTTACAGCCCCGCGTAGCTACTCTGATGAGGTGGCTGACACCTGCTGGTGTTGTAGCAGCAAGTTGCTGCTTTCCACTGCTTTATTTGCAGCTATTTAATTTCAGCTTCTCAAAACCCAAATAGCAGAAAACGGTTGACACCACACGAGGGTTGCTG